TTCTGTAGTTCTCTGCATATAAGGCAATTTACTACACCAACACATCACCCTAAGTAAGCCAGCATTCAATTTAGCTTCCCACCACCCCAAAATCGGCATCTCAATTAATATATATTTAGAAATGCATACACTTTTGATGAGATTTTCTGTCCTTTGACTGATTAAAAAAAAAAAAATTCAGACAATTAAGAAATCCAGTATTAAAGACATGAGCATTCCTAATTATGCTAACTAGTTTATTTTCCTGGAAGTCTGTAATTAGTGTTTTGCTAGCTCTCAGAGACATTCTTCATTCAACTTGTGTTGTAAGATGCAGGTCAAAGCACTGCACAAGCACTTGAGCAGTCTGAAGAGGCTGCACAGCTTCTGACCTCTAGGAAGGAGGTGGCTCTGCAAAAAAAATTGTTTGCAAAGACACTTGAAATAAGTGTGAGAGTCCAAGTTGTTCGAGTCTTACCCGTATCTTTTCTTCTTTAAAACCATGTCTTGTTAACATGAAATATAAAGCCTGTAATCTGTGTCAGACGACCTCAAGATCCCTCCCAAAAAACTTAAAGAGACTGATTCACAGATGTACTAGAACACAGAACTCCTATTGCAATCTGGCGCCTTGAAATCTTTCAGAATCCGGGACATAGTCCAAAAAAAAAAAAAAGGCTGGAAAAGAGGTATTATCACTCTCACAGCAGAGATTCCGAAGTGGTAGAAAAAGCAGAGCATGAGTTATAAAAGGTGCTTCATTCTTCAATCCGTTAAATTAGAGTATATTAAGATGCATCAGACACAAGCAGAAGGCTATAAAAAGGCCCAATCTGAATGCAGTAACAGTAACCTGATAAGCCTTCCATAATACCTTTTTCTCAGTATCCAAAAGCATAGATACAAAGGAAAAAAAAAACCTTCATTTTCTTTCAAACTCTATTTCCCACAGACAATAGAGCCTCATATTTTAGTTCAATCCTGTTAAGTATCTGGCTTGCTCCCCCCCCCCCCTTCCTTCCAAAATGCAGACTTACAGATCTTGGTGGATGAAAACTAAGTGTATATGCAAGTGGGCTGATAGCAGTTTAAGAGTATTAAAAAAAAAATATATAGAAAAAATAGAACAAGTGGGATTATATGCATTATCTTCTGTGGGGAAGGAAAACAAATAGAAAATACAAGATATGAGATAAAGCACATCCATCATGGAAACAACAAAAAAGAACTATGGAAGAGAAAGTAAAAGAAAGTAGGATTAAAACAAAACAAAACAAAACATTAAAAGCATAGGGCAACAGATTCAATTATCTACTATATGGAAGAAAAGATTGATATGAAGGAAAAAATGTGAAATGTTAAAATATTTTACACCACCTTTTTAAGGAAATTAGTCTTATACAGGAAGTGTGGGGAGATCTCCCACTTGGAAACTGCTGGATGAATTCAATCAGATTTGACAGAAAGGTAGAGGTCTCAAAGATAATTGCCTAACAAAATGTTAAGTTCGTGAAATCAAGATGCTAAGAGTGTCATGACCAAGTAAAAGGCTGCAGTATGCATTAAGCCCTTATTAGGCATTAGATGATCCATAGAAGGATGACACTATAAAATATTCCATTAGAACTTATAATCATCCCTGAGATTTTTTTAAAAAAGGGTAAGAAGCCAAAAGCTTATACTTCTCAAGGTACTACTCCTTTAAAGTACTTCTTCCTGTTTCACCTGCAGGAGAAAAAAGGAAGTACACAATAATACTTGGTATAGTATTCACCATCGGGAGTGGAAACAAACAGGTGCCAAAAGGCCCCTTTTATACGCAGAAATGCTGTATAAAGCTGGACATCTTTATTTTCCTCTGAATAAATCAAAGCAAGAGAGGCTAAGTGACTGCAAGAAAGAAAAGCAGTGGAAAAGCTGGATGGAAATAAAAGCCAAATAACCCAAATCACCTTCCACCCACTACTCCAGTCTGTCTTTCAGAACCAGCAGCATCCAACGCGTAACGTAACACATCTCCTGGAACCCAATTAATACAGAACACACAGCATATAGTAATCAACAAGAAGACTTTTTTTTTTTTTTTAAGCTGCATCACTCTTTTGATTTGTTTTACACTAATCAACCCCTTCTTGAATCCACAGCTACGCACTTGATAGTTACTGTGTTGACAGACTATCTCAGTACAAATAATGAGCAGCAATTCCTCACCTCTTTCAGTAAAACCACATTTTAGATAGCCATGCATATTATCCATCAACACTTTTAAAGCATAGTCAAGTCACCATTTCATATTCAAAAATGGCCTCTGCATGCTTACTAAAAATTAATCTTTGCTACAATTTAAGCAAAGAGAAACTTCAAATGGTGTTATACTGAACACCTTCTTGTGTGGTTATTACTAGCCTGAAAGCACCAGAAGGGCAACGAATTTAAACCATCAAGTGATTTTCGTAAGTTCTACAATGAAAACATTTGAAATTTAATCATCTGAGATTCTTATGGCAAGTGACCCAGGATGCTTGGATGCAACATAGCTGGACATACTTAAGCAAACTACCAAAGCTTTGCCAATTAAACACTTGAGATTCAACAATAACCAGGTAGAATTTATTTAATCATTTTCAACACGATTCTCCAATAAAATATCAGAGACTGGTTGCACAAATAAACTTGAAACAGTTCACTTTTCAGGAAGAACACCTTTCAACTTCAGACAATACCCAGCCTCTGTATGCCAAGAGAAAAAGGAATGCTGTCATATGGAATCAGTTAACAGTTACAGCCAATAAACAAATTGACTGCAGTGGAAGATCCACTTTTGACATTAATAAGCAGTGATTCATGCACAGTGTCATACAGCTTTCCTTACTTACAGATTCATCATCCATGTATTTAACAGAAAAGTAAACTCATTACCATATGAAATGCTAGTTTAAAAGTACATTTCAGCTGTTGGAGATGTAAACAAAAGAAAGGTCTCAGTGTTGTTGAAAATGTAGGAATTTTACCTAAAATCCCTATTCTAGGAATCAAAGATACATGCCCGTGTTGAATAAAACAGGTCTAAAGGCAGCACTTCACTCCATGCTGAATACTTTCTATTTGTCCTTATATCTATATTTTTTCCCAGAAAAAAAAAACAAGTTATCTATTCTCAAGCCAAGGTACTTGTTTAAAACCGTGACTGATGGAAAGGATGGAGAAATCAAACCAGAGCATTTAATCTGATTAAATGCCACTGTGTCACAATTAGATGTCACTGTATGTTCACTTTAATTCTGGAAGCACATGCGGCACACGAAAGGAAGTCATGGCACTGTACTAAGCGCATGCAGTGCATATTACCTAGCATCGAAGCTAGCCCCTCAGCGCTCTGCACTTGCCAGTTATTCTGCCCGCGAGTGAAGCGGGCGCAGGAATTCTGCTGCCTGGAGAAGTTGGAACCTACGCGCTTTCTCCCGCTCCCAGCCGGCCGCGATCTCCGAGCCCGCCTAACAATGGTAGCAGTGTTACAGCGGGCAGCTCTGCCCTCCGCCGCTCCGCATCCCCTCGCCTCCGAACGGCGGCCGCGCCGGCTGTGCCCTCCCGAGCCCCCGCCACAACGGCCCTTGGGAGCCCCTCACCTCAGACCGGCCGGGCGCGAGCCACTCGCACCTGGCCGCGGCTGACGTCACCCCCACCCGCCGACCCCGGCCCCGCACGGCCCCACCTTCCCCTCCGGGTACGGGCATACGGGGCTAGGACACCAGGAGGAGACCGAGAGGAGGGACCCCTCCGCGCTCCGGAGCGAGTGCGGCCCCCTCCTCTCTGCGCCTCGCAACACGCCCCCTCCTGCCCCGGCTGGCGGGGGCGGCGGGGAGACGGGAGAAGGGGCTCCGCGGCCGCGATGTGCATCCCTTCGTTCCTCCCGCCGCCCCCGGCACGGGCACGGACAAAGGGGAGGGGGCCAGCACCTGGCGGGGGCTGGTCCCTTTGTGAGGCGGACACGTCCCGCAGCGCCGGGGAAGGAAAGCGGGGGCCGATCCCTCCCGCAAAACGCGATGGCCGCGAGGGAAGGGCGCGGGGCACTTACTCGCCGGCCCGTCTCAGTCGCGCTGCCTCCCCTCGCCTCACACCTTCACGCCGCTCAGCCTCAGCCCCTCCCTTCGCCTCGCTCTGCCCCCGCCGCCGTCGGAACTTCAAACGGTGCCAGCCATTACGGCGCGGCGCCCCGCGGCCGGCTGCCGGCTCCGCGGGGCTGAGGGCGGGAAGGATGGGGGGGCGCGGCGGCGCGGAGCTCCCCCGAAGGCTTCACAATAGACACAGGGCAGCGCGCGTGTGAGAGCGTGTGTGTGCGCGCGGGGGGAGGGGCCTCTCCTGGCGCGCCGAGCCGAGGCGGGAGGAGGCAGCGCTGTTTACCCAGCGGACGGACCCGGCGCCCCCCCACCCGATGCTCGGACTGGTCCATGCGCTGCCACCTCCCCCAGCCACCGTGAGGGAGGCGAGCCCACCCCACCCCGCGGGCGGCAGGTGGTACGGTCCAGCCGGCCGGCTCCCTTTCCCTAGCACGGGCAGGGCGGGGCCCGCCATTGTGACTTGCCCAAAGCCGGGTGCTGGCTGCCAATCAGCGGCAGGGGGCGGGGCTCAGCCAGCCCCGGGGCGGCCTGTGCCGAGCGGCGGGAGGCTGGCGGTGAATGTTGGGACCGCTGTTGCCGGGTTCCAGTTCTGCCTTCCTGCCGAAGAGATGGCGAGAACCTTTTATGTGCGGAAGAAGGCGCTCGCCCTCTGTTGAATGTTAACAAGGTGCAGGCGAGAGCGGGTGGGAACCCAGAGAGCCCCTGACAAGTCGTCACGTGCGGGAGCTCGAGCTGGAAATCGGTGGGGCTCGAGAAGCAGTCATCGGCAGGAGCGCTTTCCCTTGGAACAAGCAGCGGGAAGATTCCCCCCCCCCCCAAATCCTGCGCTGATGTCCCCGTCAAGAGCGGTGCCATAAAATTCGTTTGCCTGGGCAGCAGGACACCAGCAGCTGCACCACGCTACTCGGACTGGCCGTCCGCACCTCCCGCGGAGCCCGGACCCGGCCTGCTGGCGCCGCGTTGCATGCCGGAGCTTGTAGTTCTCTCTGGAAGTCCTGAAAGGTTGAATACCGACAACACCAAAGGAAGATGGTCCTCCCCCTGTAACGCCTACATATCCAATAGAAATCCATAGTTTATCCCACACATTGCAGGGGGTATGTTCCGTTCTAATGCGCTATCTCTTAATGGGCAGCCCCACCCTTCTCGTCCTGCGGGAGAAGGGAGGCGGTGAGTTCCGCGCAACTGCCAGGACCTTCTCGTCCCGTCATCCCTCGCGCCAAGATGTCGGCGGCTATCGCCGCGCTCGCCTCCTACGGCGGGTCCGATTCGGAGCCCGACTCAGAGCCGGAGGCTGAAGGCGGCTCCCAGAGTGCCGCTGTGGTCGCCACCCGCGACGCCGTGCTGCACCTCCGGGCGCCGCCCGCCGCTCCAGGGGCCCTGGCCGTGGACGCGGCCCCGGAAGTAGCTGTGAAGGTAGGCGTCCCTCCGCCGCCCGTTGGACCGGGGTCCCCGGTGCCTGTGCGCCGCTGCGGCCACTACTTTGGTTTCTGCCGCTGGGGTCAGACGGCCTTGGGGCAGCCCAGGCCGGGGAAGTGGGGCAGGCTGGTGCGGGCCCGGTGCGGGGACGTTGTCGCCGCCTGGCCTTGCCTCTGACCCGCGGTGTGAGGCCGGAGCTGGGGGTTGAAGGCGTTTGTTGGGGAGTTCGGCCGGTGGATCCCACTGTGGCTGTTAAGCTTATTAAGGCATATTATGGCTATCTGAAAGGCGTGCCTTGCTTAGCGTTCCTCACATACTCTTGTATTCAGTTCCCTTGAATTCAGGATGTCGTCCTATGTGGTTTGCACCAGTGTTGGGGTGAAACCGATACTTGATAGGCTGAGTGCAGCAGAATCCTGACCTAAAGAGTATCCTGGAAGCTGAGCAGTGTTTTTTATTTCAATTCCACTACTGCTTGGGAAACCTTAATTTTCCAAGTTCAGTATCATATTAGTTCACTTCTGTGATTTCAGAAAGGGGAAGGAGAAGGTGTTGGTTTGGTTTGGGATTTTAATATAGGCAACTAGTTTCTAATTAAAAACAGGTGACTCACCATGATGGCTGTCACTGTAGTACTGTGTAGCTTCCAGCTGTTCTGAAAAGTTACCTACTTTGTAACAAAGAGGTGAATGGAATTTTTCTCTTTGTTAGTTAATTCACATGGTGTCGCACCTGGCTGTATCTGTGTGTGCATGTTATATTGTATGTCCTGACTAGATGTGCATCTTCAGATCCCTTGGAGTCTTAGAAATACTTAACATACTGAACTGCATCTTCAGACTGTCTTCCCATGCAGGCTTTGAAAGGGATGCTAATTAACATCTGTAATGTCATTTGAGTGTGAATGATAAGTGGCAAGTAGTATTGGCTGTTCTGTACACTGCTCTGGGGGCTGTAGGAGCAGCTTTGCCATGACAACACAAAGGCTTGTGTAGTTGCTTGGTGGCTGACATCAAGGAACTAGTCTGAATGTCTGAATTTAATAAAAAATAATAAAAATCTGGTGGAGTTATTAGTTCCTGGATCCATTCCTTGATCTGTCTTGTCATGTAGCTGCACGATTGCTGTGCTGGCACAGTTAAATTCCCAGTGCCAGAGAAGCAAGCAGCTGGAGGAAAGAGTTAGGTGCCAGTAGCATGTTCTGTTCAAAGCTGTTCTCCAGGCTATGCCCTGGAAGGGATATCTACCAGTACAACTAGGACTGCTTCTGCGGAGGGCCTGCTAACCAAGGTCAAAAGGAAGTGAGGTTTCTAAGTGCCAAGGTGTTTAGTTAAATGAACTGATTAACTACAGTTAACACAATGATAATAAGCCCAGAATAAATTTAAGAAATGTAAGTCTGATGATCTAGAGTTTCTTTGCCATTGGCTATGCAAAAACGGGCTAAGGTATGTTAGTGGTGGCTTTTGTGTGGTGTGAATTAGGCTAATTAAGAACATAAACTGTAAAAGTCAAATAGGTATTCATTATTTGGTCTGTAACACCAGTACATTATGAATGTTGATGTGAAAGTAGAGGCCAGCATGTGTTTCAAGTCCTATAACATAGCATTTTCCTTTTTTCCACTCTAAATTTCTTATTTTAGGATTCTTTCTAAGTTACATTTTTTTTCTAGGCATTGCCAAAACCAATTAGAATCAATTTTGCTACAGCTTCTACTGATATGAAAAAAACCCCAAAAACTAAAACACCCTAAGATTGCTCACAATTTATGTTCACTAATGAATTAAAAATGCTGAAGGAAATGACATATTCTGTAAAGAAATAACTTCCACAGGAAATGTTGCAGCTGTAAGCTTTGCCTTAGAGGCAAAGGAGAGAACATTGCCATAGTTTAACCCCAGCAAGCCAATAAGCCCCAGTCAGCCACTTGCTCACTCCTCCTGGTGGGATGGGGTATAGAATCAGAAAGGAAAAGAGAGATAACAAATGGGTTGAGATAAAGGCAGTTTAATAGGTAAAGCAAAAGCTGTACACAAAGTAAAATGAATTCACTCACTCCTTCCCATGCACAGGCAGGTGTTCAGCCATCTCCATGACAGCAGGGCTCCATCGTGAGTAGTGGTGACTTGAGAAGACAAATGCCATCACCCTGAACATCTACCCCTTTCCTCCCTTTTCCCCCAGCTTTATACACTGAGCATGATGTCATATGGTATGGAATATCCTCAGCTGGGGTCAGTTGTCTCAGGTGTGTCCCCTCACAACCTCTTGTGCACCTCCAGCCTGCTCATTGGTGTGGTGCTGTGAGAGGCAGAAAAGGCCTTGGCTCAGAAGTATTTAAAACATCCCTGTATCATCAACATTGTTACCAGCACAAATCTAAAACATAGACCCATACTGTTTACCATGAAGGAAATTAACTCTACCCCAGCCAAAACCAGCACATTTACTGTTTGATCTCCATCTGTTCAGGGTGGTACTTGGATGGCAACAGATTTTACCTTATTTATCTACAGTGTTGCATTCACTGGTTTTGAGAGGAGGATACTCATCTTGGTTAAAATCAGCTAGATTGTCCTGGCCCAGTCCAAGAGCTGGAGCATTTGTGTTGTCTTCGATGTGGGAGGGGGTTGGAAGTCTCAGGTCTGTTTGTAGAATCTAGTTTACCTTTGGTAGTATGCAGGTGTCCAGAAAAATACTATTTCAGTGGAAGAAAGAGACTTCAGTCGCATTTCTTGATGTTCTTTAAAACCTAATGCCTCCCCATCTATGGAGATACAAATGATGCAAAGTCAGTGTGTGACCATTCTGTAGCAATAATGAACGTTAGTGACTTTTAGGTGTTATTTGTTAGGAATGTTTTGGCTTCTTTTAATATGGCGGGGTTGTCGTCTTTCTTTGACACAATATTATCTTTGTAGAGAACAGATGTTTAGAAACTGGCATCCTGCAAGATGCTGGGAACGTAGACTAGTTCAACAAATCCATTTAACATACCCTTTTCTCCCTCTTTTATTTTTATTCTATTGAAGTTAGTGGGATGGACATTTACTGTTAAGAGAATATGAATAGGTATAATGGGTAAAAGCTGAAAACAATGAAATATTGGGACTTTACTGCAAATGCCATTCTTCTCTTTGTAACAAGTCTGAAAATCTTTAAAGAAGATAATACAGCATATTTCACAGCTCAAGTGGTTTATGCAAGAGTTGGTAAGTGACAAATTGTGTCAGCCTCTGTGGCTCATAGGATGGGGTCTTAATTTACCATATTGTAATTTAATGGATAATTAAAACTAATTAGGTCTTATGCAAAGCAGCATGCCCTTTTTAGCTACTTTGCTAATTAGTAATGAATTTACCTTGGGAGAATGAAGCATTTTAGATTTATTATCTAAAATATCCAGAAAAAACATATAGACATCATAACTCTTTGCTTGCATGATATGAAACTGGAAAACCCTGACCTTTGCTTTGTTCTAACAAAATTTGTGCTTACACAAATGCTTGAGATTTAAGTGTCAAATTCTGCTTCTAAATGCATGAATGGTTCTTATTAAACTTACAGGTAGCCACATAATAGCACAATGGAGATTACAAAATTTGACTGAAGCTTTAAAATATTGTGGATTAAAAGGATTGTGAGTTGCCTCAATGTAAATAACATTGTATTCTTTCTAAGGCACAGATAAGTGTTGCAGTCCATGCTGCAGATTCTTTTTTTAAAGAACTTTATTTAAGCCTTTATTTAAGGTTTGCTCTGATGCCTGTGACAGGGATTTGGCCTGTGTTTAATTAAAAATGTTTTTTGTCTTGCATGCATACAAAGAAACAAAAATGAAGCAGAAAAAAACTTCTGTCAAGCTTATTATTGTTGAACTGTTTTGAATTCTATAAATCAAGTACTTTTCATATACAATAATGGTTTTGTTTTATGGCTTTCAGACAGTGTTTTTTCAAAGAAAACCAGGACTGTGGCATGTTTAAGGAATCCATAGGAAGGAAAGCTAATTTGATTTATTGGATTTATAGTCTAAAACCCCTTCTATATCCTGTGCTCTTTCCTATGCTGACTTTTAACTGGCCAAAGGGCCTTTATGGTAGGTGGAGCCTGCCTTGGTAGGAGCTAGGCATTCTGTGATCTCTAGAGTTATAACGTCTACGCTTAGTATCAAAAGCTTCTTTCTGTCCCAAGGTAGATTCCTTAGGAAATGCTAATACCACAGAGTACAGCCCTGAGTACCATTTGCCTGGGACAGTGTGATGCTGTGCTGGAGGGTGAAAGACACAAAAGGAGAGCATCTAAATATCAAATAATATTTTTTGCCTAATCCAGTCATATCTGAACTTTAAATCAACCCGATACTGCAAGTAAGTAGACATCACACCTATTTAAAAAACAAACAAAAAATAAACAAAAAAAAACCCCAACCAACATATCAAGTAGTACAATGATAAGACAACAATGCTGCATTTTTGCCTTGCATCAAGAGTGATACCTGCATCTGCTTAGGTAGACACTCATTTAACTTTTCTACAGAACTTCAGTGGATCTGTAGACTGAGAAATTCAGTGTTTGGCTTTCCTTGTTTCTGCTAATCATATAATCTGAATCTTTTTTAGGGTAAATTAGGTTGTTCAGTTTTTCTGTACGTGTCATTTTCTTAGGCCTCTGATTCTTGAATTTCTCTTTTGGATCCTTTTCAGTAGTATGTGTCTTAGCTGATATGCGGTGCCCAGTGTAGCCACTATATTTCAGTTGGTGCTTGTTACCAGTGCTGAGAAAAGCAGAGAGGTGACACACAGAGCAGAAGTTTGTAGTTCTATTGTATTGTCTTCCAAGAAAGCCATATTTGGTAAAACATAACTTCCTAAAACCTTTATTTTTCTTTTTCAGTTTATATGGGATATACCGCCTTTGATGGTGTTACAGCATGCCATAAAGCCCATATTTATACAGTTTCCAAGTTGGAGCAAACACAAGTTGCTTCATGGCCAATCATATGGCTCAATTTTTATTTTTCCCTGGAGAAACCCTGTATCTGTTTAAATTGACAGCTTCTTAACCCTCCTTTTTGTGATTCCTGTGCCTTTGTGAGTGAGAAATTATACAGAGTAATACTTAGCCCATCATTAAGTTAACAGGTGCCCTCCTCTTTCACTCTATCCTTCTAATAGTTTTCCATCCCACAGAGCCACTTTTGTCGCTCTTGGGACATAAGCTGCATGACAGATTGCACACCTTAGGCTTTTAGATAAATCAAGATATGTTGTATGTGACCAAAGGAAGAACTACAGCACAGCAGATGGACATGATCCTTTAGATTATTTATCTCAGTCACACAGCTCTGCCAGACTGCTGCACCTGTGATCCCTTATCTGTTTGCTGTAGCTGTGGTGGCTGCATGTAGAATGCCAGCATAAAGGGACAGGGTTGTAAGACCTGTATGTTTACTTTTTTCACTTTCTGGGTGTTGGAATGATGAGTTCTGCTGACATGGTCTTCTGGCGATGCATGCAGTTGTACCCAGGATCTTCACTGTGTGCAGAGGTTGCTGGAGTTCTTTCCTCTGTCTTTTGTTTTTTCTTTTTTTTTTTTTTAAAAAGACAAACCATCAAAACACCCCAATGCAGACAGCTTGGCAATTTATGAAATGGTTGATAGACTAGTTTCATATTTTTTATGTTTCTGCTACCTACCAGAGTCTCATAATGCTGTACAAAATAGCAGTTATCAGATGCTGACCAAAGGATAATCTGTCTGCTGCAATTTCAACTCTTGCTGTTGAACTCTTGCATTTCAGAATGTTATCTCAAGGCTTTATTTTCTTATGAAGATTTTGGTTCTTTAAAATACTGAGAAGGTAAAGTAGGGATTGGGACACATTCAAATTATTATATCGTTTAAAGTGAAATGGCATAATGAAAAGAGAACCAGTATGTGTTTCAGCAGCGTATTAACAGATCATCATTTGATGCCCAAATATATGAAAACATGAATAAGGCTGCAGGTATTGGGGAGCGTAGCTCTGAATATAACATGTGCTTCAATTTCAAGGCTCGGTGGTTTTCACACAGAAGACTATGCCTGTGGTGGGTCTAGGAGTGAACATATTGTATGGCTTCCAAGTGACTCAGCACTGTTCTACCAGCAGTGAAGTAGAACCAGAATTGCTATAATTGTCCAGCAGAAGATCAGCTTTCATGGCACAATCTGTTTCTTTTCTCAGTTACCAAGTGGCATATAATAGGACTTAACAGGGAGAAAAGAGGAAGAAAAATAGCAGAACTGACAAATTCTTGGCAGTTTTGCAATACTGGGTTTTTCTCATTTTTCCAGTTTTAAAGAGCAGGGGAAAAAGAAGAGGTGTTTTAATTTCAAGTAAACTGATAACTTTTTTTAATGTCGCTAGCAGTTCATAAGATGAATTTTGCCATCTTATCAATGACATTAATTTTCTCAAATTATAAGGTTGGTTGCTAAAATGTAAAATCTAGCTGGCAGAGCAAGCTCTTGGACGAGGCCTTGGGTGATATGGTTTAGAGCGAGGTGTCCCTGCCCATGGCAGTGGAGTTGGAATTTGATGATCTTAAGGTCCTTTCCAACCCTAACTATTCTATGATTCTATGATTCAATGACTTGGAAAAGTCCCTGTGGAAAATATCCTTAGGTCATGGAACTGCAGAAGGGAACGTGTGTAGGTAATACAGGTTACAAAATGGTTTTGATATGCTCCTATTCTAACTGAGGATGGGGGTGGGTTTTTTTGTTCTTGTTGTTGTTGCTGAATGACTGGATTGGGCCTGCTGTGCTGTTCCCATGCAAGTTCATAGTGTATGAAAGTCAGGCTGTGAATGTACGGGTAGCCATTATGGTCTAAACCCAGTGAATTGTTAAGGTTGTGTGATGAGAGGAGCAAGGTCAGGCTGGGAATTGGCAGTGCTAAGGGTTCAAGCAAGAGCAGTGCAATGGCTGGACGTTCCTGTTAGAATAATTGATATACAGTGAGAGTAAAGTTTTCTAGTTGGATTTAAGGATCTAAGACAGTGATCTTAGTAGAAAAAAAAATTGATGGAATAGCTGATGTCATTCTTTAAAAAGAAACAACACCACAACACAAAAACAAAACAAAAAAATACCCCCCCAAAAAAAACCAAACCAAAACAAAAAATCTAAACAAACAACCAAACACTCAAGTTTTGGTTGGTTTGGTTTTATTGAGCAGTTTTGACCAAATATGATCAGATAACATGCCAAAGGTACTGTTTTTCTGTGTCTGGAAAACAAGGTTTTAAAAGTTTTTAAGTCTTGCATGTCTAAGCAAATTCATTTGTAATTCAACTACTATTAAACTGGGGAGAAAAAAAGGCTTCTGGGCATGCCATGTTAGAGAATAGCTAACAATATTAAACAAGTAAATAACATGCCATTTTGGTCTTTCAAGATACTATATTGCAAAGCAAGATTGACTTTCTTAAAGGTAATTTTGTGCTGAGGAAGTTACTGCTAAAATGCGATCTTCTGTTGTGCCACTTCTCTGAGTTGCAAATGCTTTTGGATCATGTATGTGAGCGCTGATTAGATGCTGATGCTAAGGTAGGTTTTTCAGTAAAATTACTAGGGATATTATCAATATACTAGCACATTGTATATCCCTTTCAAATGTATTTATTCTAGAATAAAGATGTAGGAAGTAATACCAGTAATAATACTGCAAAGTAACATTCTCCTTCATGAGCTCTGAACTGGGGATGTGCAGGTGTGTCAATTCAGGGTCAGTGTAAATGAGCTTCAGTAGAGCTCTGTGAAACCAGGTCTTTTGGAGCACTGCCTTTCCTATCTTTTCTGCTTTCCGTTTTCAGCTGTGTATACTCATCTGAGTTTTTCTCTTTGAGTTGCTTGAGAAGTTGTTATTTCAGTTAGGCCCTCTTTCTTGTCTCTTCATCTATTGAGTTAAATTTTTGTCACAGCATTCTTGGAAATGTGTTTAAATACTGAAGTTGAATTACACTTACACCTTTTTGTTAAAAACCTGGAGATAAGGGATCGCTGGATTATCTGAAACTCATTCCATGTTATGTTTGCACTGATGCCTAATATTTTATCCCAGGTGTTTTTCAGAACAGCTGCTTATGACTTCAGCCTTACACATTTTGTAGACTCTAGTTTCACACTTTTATATTAAATTGGTGGCCACTTAATCGACTCTTCTTTACAAAGTCTGGTTTTCAAACATCCTCAAAGAAAAAAAATAATAAAAAAAAAACAACAAAAAAAAGCTTGCTCCAATCTTGCGACTGGTTTTAAACTGCGTGCATGAAGCCTTAAAAAAAAAAAAAAATAAAGAAGTAATAATACACATGCAGATTTCCTCATATATCTTAGATGGATTTCTCAGTGAGGGCCCAACATGGGTTTTGCAATCAATACTTTGATAAATAGAAACCTTGCCCAGGCTACTCCTTTCACAGTCCTGCAAGTGTCAACTTGAACTACAGCCCTAATTTGTTCTGAAATGGGGTAATGTAACATATTTGAAAGTCTGTATGTGGAAAATGATTTATTAATATGTCTGTTTAATTTCAGGAAGATGTGGAAACAGGAGTCCACCTTGATCCTGCTATCAAGGAAGTTCAGTACAATCCCACTTATGATACCATGTTTGCACCTGAGGTAAGAAACAGTATTGATCTTTAGAGCAGAAATGCCTTTGGCCTAAAGGCAGAGGTTCTGTAAATCTCATGTGAAATTCATATAAGACATACCTTGTTTAAATGCTTGCTCTATTTTGGAATCTAGTTTGAGGAAATTGAAAAAAGATTCTACACAGTTGTGTTGGTATTGTTAATGCTTGAATTTTAATATTCTGCATAAAGCTGTTCTAAGAAGATTCTTAATGTGTTTATTAGAATGATAGCTATGGAAATTGAAAAATCAAGGTAGGAAAATAGCATTATAAAGATGTTGAGAAAACATGAAGTGCATTAAAGTAGTCTCTTGCTATTCTCACATTTTTGATATTTGTTCAACATGCTACTTAGAAAAATGAATGGTTAAGTTTTGGGGATACATGGCTTTTGGAGCAGGATTTAAAATTAAAATCCAAGTTCTTTCAGTATTTTGATTTGCATCAGCTTTAAGTATTTTAGTAGCTTAAGCTATGCTGAATGTGTATAGTGAAAAATCATTTTAGGCTGAATTTGGACTGCCTGGTACCATGTGAGCCACTCTCTATTTTGTTATAATTGACATACTATCTGAAAGATAAAAATAGCTGTTCATGCATTTAGCTGATTTCAGTATTTCTTTGTACAGCTTGTCTTCTGTTAGACTAGGTGTTAGTATTTTAGGTAGACAAAGGCTGCATCAGTGTGACATTTCTATATTAGTTATACTTTATGCTTACAAAACCTTTTGTGGAATCACATAAATTGGTCTTTTCATAGCAAGCTTGCTTTTTGCAACATACCCATGAAGTGAGTGAGCAAAAATACTGCTTTAAACTTACTACAGTGCTACCTTGTATAAGTGTTTTTAGTTAGGGAAGCCTAATATGGGGTAGTCTCAGGTGTCTGCAAATATGGCAACAGTCATAGGGTTACAATTACATTTATTTTTGTATTAGTCTCAGTGTATTGCATTTGTTTGTATTCACTGGTGGGAGTTTATTTGTTTTTCCCCTAACTGTGGTATGGTCAGGAACACCGTCAATTGTTGTCTTGCAAGAAGAAAAACAAGACAGGGTTTCATATGTGAATTTTCTGAAATAACACAAGTTCCCAGTTGCTTTTTAAGTGCAGTTGGCAGTGTAATTTCTGCGTTAAGTACACAAGTTTAGTAGGTTTTGCTGTCTCTCCCTTAAGAGGAACATTATGCAGTTATTTTGTCATCTGAATGGTTGTACTGATCACATACTGAATGGCGGCACTTTGTGTCAAGTAGTTGATATTGATTTGTCTGCTGTACCAGTAATACAGGGTAGAGAGTTCAATCACAAAATGAGCTGTACAGAGCAACTGTGCAAGCACTTACTGTGTAAAATAAAGGACTTAGAAGATTATTCAGTAGTTCTGAAGAAATATAAAGTTGAAGTGATTTTGTTACAATTTTTGAAAGACAAGTTGGGTGCTGGGATTTTTTTCCCCTGTGTTTTTTTTTCTTGAAAAATTATATGCACATAAATAAGAAACCGGTAATTCTGATATACTTTCTTTAAACATCTTTGATGTAGTTTGGACCAGAAAACCCATTTAGGACTCAACAGATGGCTGCACCCAGAAATATGCTTTCTGGATATGCAGAACCAGCTCACATCAATGATTTCATGTTTGAACAACAAAGAAGAACCTTTGCAACCTATGGTAAGTCCTTAAGAGGTAGAATTCACCTCCACCCGTACTGTGCCCATGTTGGACTGTCTATAGAAGAGTTTAATAGAACTGAAAGTTTTGTAAATTGCTTTTTAAGAGACTTCCTAGAATGGAGAAAGGTCTTGGAGAATCCATATGGCTGGATATCATAGTATTTATTTGGGAAATGTAATTTTGTAATTGCCTTTTGAAACTGTAATCTGGTTTATGACCTCCTACAAAGCCTCTCTTCATTAATCTTTCCATTAGTTGCATCAGTGGAGAAAATGAATCAAAATTTCACACTTTTTTTATGACAGATTCTTTCACGTGATCCTAACTAAAGGTAGCTTTCTCAAAACTAAAAGGAAGCCTTACTGAGTTGTTAGTTTCTTCAGAGTGGTTGCCTCTAGATACAAGTTGAATGAACAGGAATTGAAAAAAGTGGGAATATATCACTAAAATATTCTTAGCAAAGACAGACCCAAAGTACTCCAGGTTGGTGGTCATTTTAGTAGCTGCTTTCTCATCTTGAAGAATCTTTACACTTGTAAATAGTTGCATTTGAAAAATAATATGTCTGAGTTTTGGGGAGGCTTGAGTTTCAAATAGACTTCTTACGGATTGTGAGAAAAAAATGTTGGGGTTTTTTTAAATAGAAAAATGTGGAAAGACTGTGGATTGTAAGCATTATTTTGGACTCATTTGAAAGAACAAACCTGTCATATATTTACATAAAACAGTGGTTAATTTTTATTCTGTGTTTCATTGTAAGCTTTCATTTCAATTTTAAACTTGGCTGCAAGGGCTTGTCTTGCAGTTATGCATCTTTGGTTTCAGATGAAGTATCACTTTATGTACTTCAAATTCAGTCTGTTCGGCAAGTAATGATACTTCCTGTGTAACCTTAAGGTGTTGCAACACTCAGCTTTTTGCACGACAGACTTGATCCTGTCTTTATTTGTATTTACATTCAAAATACTATTACCTGCAAACTGTCATGGCTCAAAATTACCTCTCACAAGTCTCCTTAAATTCATTAGGGCTTTATGCATGCATGGATTCACTTACTGCATTCTGTGATGGTCAAGACTGGAATTTTATTGGTTACATCTGTAGGAGCCATGTATTACAGTGAAACCTGGAAGCAAAAAATACCTAAAATCAGACACTATAACATCCTCAGTTTCTCTTTGTATTTGTGTTTTATTAGAGGTTTTCTTTTAAATGTTAAAAATTGAAATATATTTAAGACAGTTTGGTTTGGGGGAGATTTGTTTCCTTGGGTTTTGGTTGGTTTTTTTTTTTTTTTTTTTTCAGTTTTAGCTAATACTTACTTTTCATGGAGTTGTTAGGATGTGGCAAATAAGAAATAGGTATCTAGTTCCATAGCATAACTTTAACTTACTAGACTGCAATTTGATGTTAGAACTTGATAAATAATGCAAATAGGATCCCTAATCAGGGTCTGAATTGACAGATGAGATTTTTTTTTTTCCTGTGAAATAAAATGTTGCATTGTATGGGTTGTGCGTTTTGTGTGTGTATGTGTAAAACAGATACAGGAAAAAAAGGATCTGCGTGCATGTACTGTTTGGGGTTTGGATTTTTTTGTTTGTAAAATTTAGTTTGGAGAAAGATAGAGGTAGTAAATCTGCCCAAAGCCCCTGTTGTTGATTTATGTCACCAGTGTGCAGCATTGAAAGCTGCCTTACAAGAGAGTATAAAAAATACATTTTTAAGACTAATAACATTGGCAACTGAGCAACTATAGTATTCAGCTTTATGGGCATGTTCAAGAGATAATGATCTGGGTACAGTGATAATGGAGCTATGAAAAGGCTGAGATATAGGCAATTTAAACTGCAAGAACAAGCACTGGAAAGTTGAAGTTCAAGCTAGAAGATGCAGTAAATGAGCACGATATCCTGGCTCACTGAAAGGACTGAGGTCCTTTCAACCCTTTATCCTGTTAGACACACGGGCAGCAGTTGGTACCTAGTGAGGAGCAGAAGAAAGACGCAAGAAAATAGTGATACATCTGAATACTTTTTTTCGATGTGTAGTCTCTCAACTAAGGGCACTGTCTCTATATTTATGAATTTTCAGTGGTCAATCTTCTTTCCTCTGTCGCAGCTTTTCCGTATCTATGGCTGTGCTTTCTTTCTCTTAATCTCTGCTAGTTTCACTATATTGTTCCTGACGTGAACAGCAAAGCTGATGTAATCTCACCGTGAATTTCTGTGCCTCAATAAAGTGAGAGGCTTTTTTCCCTTGAGCTTCTAAGAATTCTTAATATGGCTTTTTTTTTTTATCTGTACTACTTTGAGTAGCTTTGTAAAAGCTACTTGCTCCTTTTTTCCAGATAATTTATTGATATGTTGAACAGCATGCGCCTGAGCATGTGTCTGCCAGAAACTTTCTTGTGCTGGGGAAACTGTTCATTTATTCTTGACAGTGTCTTAATAACTTTTAATAACTTGAAGACCTGTGGAGTTCTTAAAGACTCTTTGAGACATTCTGTAATCAGTCTAACTTGGTTTTGTAAAGGCATCGAACGTCAACCAAGCTTTGCTCATTCATGTTTGTCACCTCAGAAATATTCTGGGAGCTTTGTCATTGTAATTTACCTCTGTGGAGAGCTGTGTTGTCTGCTCTGCTGTGATATGTAATGCTCATCCAAGTGCCTTATTGGATGCTCCTTATTTCCTTCATTATAGTTTCTACTGCTTGAAACTTCTAACCATACAAACGTCTGTCTGGTTGACCTCTGGTTCCCCCAATCTCCTCTGAAACATCTTTTGAAAGTTGGCATTGTATTTGACACGTTCCATTTCTATCGTATTGAGGTGATACAGCATGAGCATTTCTGCACTGTGTTTCTGCGTTAGATCTCTTGGATAACTACCATCTGCTCCCAGTGTTTCGTTACCACTTATTTGACTCTTTAGTCTCCTGACATTTCACTTTGAGATGGATATTTTGTCACATTACCCATAAAGAGAGGTTCTGGCACAGGAGCCTACCACATTCCTTCACAATGAACATGTATTTTAAAAAACCTCGCTGATGCTCTTTTCATTCCTGTATCTGTTGGCCTACATGCTTTCTGCCCCTGAAGTTTTTGACAAAGGGCAAATGTTAGGCTTTATACCTTATTGTGATTTTTCTCCTCCTTTTTGAGGGGCAAAGGGGGTTTGCCTTCCTGTGGTGTTTACTTTGTCTGCTAGAGTTTGGTTCTTTGTATCTTTCACATCTGGATGCAACTTCAGCTCTTTGAAGAATAGTTTCTTATTTCTAATAGTTTCTCTTTACATACTGTTCAGCTGTGGCCACTTCCTTCTGCTTTCTTTAAAGTCTTCTTTAATAGCTGGCAGACATTAGTTCTTTTTCTCCTACATGGTGTCTTTGAAGTGTCCCTGCATTTGGAAAAAGGCTTTTACCCTTTGCTCACTTTCTGTTCCTTTTTAAAATCTTCTTTATTTAATATAGCCCGTCTGTTCTGAGATTGAGATCATTGTAGCGAATGTTTTTATGGCTTGCTTTTGTTCCTCAGCAGTGTTAATTTATGAATTTATAGTGCACTGTGGTTGTTGTTAAAATGTGTATACTTAGAAAAAAAGATGTTTTAAAATCAAGTTTCCTGTGCTGCTCAGTTGGCCCTTTTTTTTTTTTTTTCCTCCTATGCGAGCCTTTAATGTGACTGCTTCATGGTACAAGTACAGTGTGTAAAAAAGCTGTTTCTGTCACATCTTGGTGTGAGATTTGCAGTCTGTTACAAGGAGTTGACTAAACCATGTCATTATTACTGTGCTTCTCTCCCTAGCACCTGTTTAATCTCTGTTACCGTTTCATAGTTATTGTACCTTCTGTCTGAATGCTCAGAAAGGGAGTCCTAGCAACTGTACTCACCACTACTTAAAACTGGAATTTCAATCCAAAGGGTCCTTTAATGCCTGTTAACTTGTTATCTGAATTGTCTTTAAGCTTTCTGTAGCATATAGTATGTTTTTCCCTTCTGGTATGACCATCTTATTTTTGTATTCTTTTTACCTGGTAAAGAATGTAATACTGACATAATTGAATAGAATACATTAGTTTACAAATTTAAAACAAGATACTCCAATTTTGCTATGGTTTATTTTTAGCCTCTGCCATTTCGTATGCATGTTCGGGTTTTCCATTTCCCTGCCCTCATTTGAAATGGGATTTTGTGCTTACTGCTATCCTTGTTATCTGAGGTTTTAGGTTTCTGTGCTGCCTTTTGCTTAAGGATATGGCTTTTTTTAAGATCCTGGAGGGATTCAAAAGATGTGTAGATGTGGCGCTCAGAGACATGGGTTAGTGGTGAGCTGGGCAGTGCTGGGTTAACAGTTGGACCCCATGATCTTCAAGGTCTTTTCTAACATAACTTATTGCATGATTCTAAATGTTGTAGTTTTTTTTCACAAGTGTAATAGTTGAGATTTTATTGATACCACCCTAAAACTTCTGTGCTACAAATCTAAACTATTCCTCATATTCCCTTTAGCAGCCCTGTCAAGCCATGGGTCATTGTTGTCTCTAATGTTTTGCAAGTTGAAACTACCTTTGGTTCCATCAGGTTTTTGCCATTTGTCCTTTATCTCTCTTTAGACTGACAAGCATGTTTCCTCAGTCTTTTCTAGGCCTTCCCTTCCCTCCAGTATTCTATCATTCTTGTTACTCTTAATTTTTTTCTGAATTTTTATTTTGACTGCATTGCTTAAACCCTGACATGCGAGTCTAGATTAGGCCTTCCCAGTGCTGTTCCATGTTTTATGTCGTTTTTCCTTTGCAATAAATCTCAGATTTCTTTTTTTATTATTACTTACTTGTTTATTTTTCTTATTGGTGTCAGGATACACTTATTAAGTGTATCTACCAGTACCCTGGCAGCCTGTGTTTTTCCTCTTGAACCTAACCAGTTTCTTGCTTGCTTGCTTTCGGTATTTATCATTCATCGTATCTTTGCTGAAGGTGTTTCAGACTTGTCTTTGTTGTCAGCTGCAGCTTTTACAGGTATGGGATCCTTTTCTGATGGCATAATCCATAACAAATACTGAATACTATAGTTGGGCAGGCCATTTTAGTGTAAAATCCTTTCCTAATTTGATGGAAAGCCTTCAGTAATTACTCTGTGAGAGTCTGACTTTTTTAAATTAGTAACCAGTTTTGCACCTGCAGTCATAGGTAATCTACCCTATTTTAACTCCATTCATATAAGGCATGAAATTATATGATTTCAACTACTAAAGAGAAAGCTTTATCTCTAGAAAAACAAAAATTTCACTTCACAGGCCATGATGATGTAAATGGTCAAAAGCCAATATTATAGTCCTTGGAGCATGACTAAAAAGACTAGGACGCCCCAGAAGATAAGCCCTTATTTATTCTTCTGTGTCTGTACCCTCAGAAGAAGCCATCTCTTTTCTTGACAATTCCTTTCTGAGTGGTTTTTTTTGAGATTATTTTTTACATGCTGCACACAAACTGTTTATGAATATGGCAGGAAAATAATTTAATGGCTCTTTCAGCATCAGCACTCATTGTAGAAGTGGACTGCTTTGTTCACAGGGCATTTAGTAGTTTAAAATCTCTCCTTCCCAAGGTATTGAAGTCCTTTTTAAAGAAACAGTCTGCTGCCCATGAATCTCAAAGCTCGTTATAACCAAGTTACTGAATACTCATAACAGGAGTACTTCATCAGTAAGACTGATATTTTAAGAGCTTAAAAAGACTGACTTTGGAAATAACACAATTTTTTTTTCATCTTCTCATGTTACATAAAACACCTACAGTCACTATTACCTCTTACAATTGCAGGCACTTTATTCTCTGATTACTTTGATTCCATGGAGAGGCCAGTGCAGTCAGAATGGTTTAGTCCAACTGCATTTTTCCACATACCTGAGCTATCTTGGATCTCTCTATGCTGCATTGCGCAGTACAGTGTAAACATAATTCTAATTATCTGTCTTTCTGGAATGTACCAAAGTCTGATAATTTAACCAACCATTTTCAGGTGCACTGAAATTATGGATGTAGGTGGAATTGTACCTTTCCTTGCTAAAACATGGCATGAAATATCTACCTCCTAAATAACACTGGAGGAGATGTAGAAGTCAGGGCACATTATATGGTGTACCAGCTGAGGAGGATAAAAGAAAGCTGTCTTTTGCAGCTGCGTTTAGGAGTCCCAGCCAGAAAGAAAAGATTCTCTTTCACATATCCACTAGAAAGTAGAAATTGTTCAGAGCTTTGCTGTGAGAATGATGCTGGACCAAATTCAACCCAGCTATAAGAAGTCTCCACTTCCATGGGAAGCTCTGCTTGGCCCAGGGTCTCTATTCATTAGAATACTGTCCCTCTTTTACAAGTACTGACCAAATAGAGTCCCAGAGACTGTGTCAATACAGTTGGAGGACAAGTAATCCACTGTATTGATTTTGACATAAAGCCAAAGAAATATCTCTCTGCTCTTAACAGAATCATTATAGCTTGGAAGAGAACTCACTGAAATAGGGGCTTAGTTAAAGCAGGCAGTCTAATTAGCAAAAGCGTAATTGCAGTGTCTTCTCCGTTTGCTTATCCTTGGAAGTGAGTTGTAGTAATAGTCTAGAATAACTGAATGATCCTTTTTTGTTGTTGTTTGGTATAGGTATAGTGGGAATTTATATTTCATAAGAGGGCGTTGGTATGCATTTCTATCTTTGTATCATATTCATGGAGCATCTGGGCGTATGTTGTTCTGGAGCTGGGTCTTACCAGGTTTGAAGCTCCAGAACTGGTCTACAAATTGCTCCACCTGTATGGGAACACTTGGTATGTTCTTGGAATAACTCTTCTGCTAATTTTCATTATATTTTTTTCCCCCAGCGTCTGAAAAGAAATTATGAGGGCCCTCTTCTAGGACAGTAGTCTTTGAGTAATGTGGAGGGGGGGGGAGATGACCTCTTTGGGCTGTTGTAATGATATTGATAGGTTCTCAACTTGTGTGTATCCAAGTGCTTTTATGGGCTGTTGGTTTCTGGGGTGGACTGGGCAATGTCCCACTGTTCATGATTGTCTCTGAATCGTCAGAAATATAAGTATTAGATCATATGCTGTAGCATTTCTTTGATTTCTGTGTATGTGATTACTTTTACCAGTGATTAATATATTCATTGCTGTCTTTCCACCTCTGCCCCTTCCTGATTCAGAGAGATTCTCATTGAGTCCTCAAGGGACATTTTGTCACTTGAATAACGTTTAATAAATTGGTGATATGTCCACTAGGGTGCAGTCTTTCCAAAAAAAAAAAAAGCCATGGTGGTCAGTAGCTAACTGTTCAGTGCACCTGTTCCTTGGGAACCAGATGAATTTATTCATCTGTCTTATTCTTGTAAGATCCTGCTATCCGCTCTAGAAATGGAGAAAAACTGTGAGATACGCATATTAAAATGAGAACCTCAGTATAAAAATATCCTGAGTATCTATGAAATGATGGTACATTTTATAAATTATTTAAAGAGTGAATTCAGCAGGGTTTTCATGTTGATGGTTGTTTTTTTTTTTGATTGGTTGGTTGGTTTAGGATTTTTATGAGACTCAGTAGCTGTAATCAGGAAATGATAATAAATACTTGATTAAAAATACTTGATTTTCTTAAAAATTAAATGCAATTGCTGCTGCTTCTGATACCATCCATGTTAGTTAAAGCAAGTTGAAGGAACAAGCTTTCCCAACTCTGGCAGGAAGAGGATGAAGTAATTTCAGCTGGGGGAGACAGAATATGCACAAAGCCCTAGAAAACTTAATTTCTTTCATTTTTCCCCTGTGTCCTCTTCCTTCCAGCTGCTGCCATCCCCAGGCTTGACAGACACAAGTAGCATTCTCTTTGACCCAGCAGAGGTATTGGGCAGAGCAGGAGGCTGCAGGGCTAGAGGTTACTGCTGAGGCCGAACAGCTCTGGGCGTGCACCAGCAATGGGTTGGTTTCAGTGTGACTGACTGGCTTTGAAAACCAAGGAACAGGGCACTGAACTAAAGCAGCATCTGTTTAAAGTCACGTCTCAACATAAGATTTTGAGCTGGTCTCTTCCTTATGCCACGTTACTACAAGAAGAGGCTGCTACGGCATTTTAAAAAACTAGTAAAGTTTGTATTACAGCAAACTGGTCTGAATTCAGTGTTGACCTCGGTCGTAGCAGGACATTGGGCCAGGGGCCTCCAGGGAACCCTTCCCACTAGAAATATTCGGTGATCTTGCTTCCTGTGACAACCCTCCCTTTGTGTCTTATGTTAACTGTTGCCTATTATATTTATTTGCTTCTCTCTTATACAAATGGAAGCATTCTGGCAGCAGCGCATACTTAGGGCTTTGTGATAATACTTTGTGTTAATCTTAATACTCAGGCTGAGTAAAAAGTGGATGGGATTTGAAAGTATCAACCCTTCCTCATCTCTAACTCCTTGAGAGTCAACAAGAAAAAAATCTGAGGGGCAGGGTCAAAGTATTAAAGGTTGTACAAAATTAAAAAGCTTGAAATAACAGTATTTTATCTCTCTTCTTGTTCTAGGTTATGCATTAGATCCCTCCATAGATAACCCTGAAGTTGCTACTAAATATATTGGTTCTGTAGAAGAAGCTGAGAAAAATCAAGGTAATTAGTTCCGAATCTCATATAATGACTTGCAGCTGATTACTGTTTCAATTTATTTTTTTTTACTGAGAAATGGAAGTGGTATTAGCAGAGGAAGGAATTATGGGAGACTTATGCATATCCAAAGGTGCAATAAAAAAAAGATGTGTTGTAATGTCAAAAGGGAAGAGAGATATGGGAGTGCTTTGCTTTCTTGAAGGAGCAGATATTTCAGGCTGTCATGTCAAATCTCAAATTAGTATTTGCAGTTGGAACCTGGCATGTGCCATTGCATAAATAGAACTGATCTGTATATTTGAAACAGTTTTTTGGTCTTCTTATGTTCTGTCTTAGCTAATACTGTCATATGTCTTTATTAGGATACCTGTATGCAGCTAATCATCTTAACTGTGCTACTCAGCAAACTGATTGCTGTATACAACCTCTAGCACCCCTGCTGGAAACTGCATGTTATCTCTACTTAGCAGAGTTAAGCTGTTGGGTTATTTGGAAAAGAAAAGCCATTTGAAGGCTGCTAAATGGTAAAGGGATGAGGGGGATCAGAAGCCAATTGCTGGGACTCTACTTTCAAACACTGCCCTATTTCAAGTATGAAAATTGATGTCTGCAGACTCAGTGTTAAAAAATGCATGGGTACATGGATGGTTGCATTGTCTAACAAACCATAAAAAGCAGTTTAAGTGGTTCCTCTGTTATTGTCCAGTTGGCAGTGTTCATAGTTAGAAAAGTTAGCAATGCTTTCGCCAGTTTTAGGCAAATGCTTTTTCCATTCTGATGTGCATATTGGAAAGAGTGGTGGTGGTGGCTTTTTCTTTTAAACTGATTATGGTGTGACTTGTGATGTTGTATTCTGTGTTAGCAGCCAGCCAATGTATTATTTCCTTCTTCAGGTTTAACAGTGTTTGAAACAGGACAAAGAAAAATTGAAAAAAGGAAGAAATTCAAGGAGAATGATGCATCCAACATTGATGGTTTTCTGGGACCATGGGCAAAGTATGTTGATGAAAAAGAAGTAGCCAAACCATCAGAAGTAAGTACTATTTTAACACAATAGCTACAGATTGTTAGTACATTGCAGTGGTTTACCCATCCTATGCTTTAGGATGATATACATCTCAAGTTATATATCCAAATAAGCTAATCCAAATATTTTGTATTATATTATTTGCAAGACTGGTTGGAAATAAAGGGCATTGTATGTGTGCATTGTGTGTAGAGTGATTGAAAGAGGTTTATATATACAGAAGCAGCTTGAAAAGAACTGAAAGTTAAACTTGTTTAAAAACCCAGCCAAACAAAAGAACCCCCCAGTAACATACACACACCCACACACACACAACCCTCCAACACACATCCGTGTTCAGACAGTGATGCTTAGCTGTAGTATATGAATAAAAAGATAATATTCTTTTCAAACTATTCTGGTTTTGAGAAAGGTATTCTCTTTACTGATGTTTAGAAATATTTCTAGTATCATTTAGCAAACAAATGTATTCTTAAATAGTAAATAAACAGCAGTACAACTCTGGATTTTGTGATGTGATTCTGGACACTGAATTTTTTAAAAATCATGGTTTATTTTTCCAGGAAGAACAGAAAGAGTTGGATGAAATAACAGCTAAGAGGCAGAAGAGAGGAAAAATAGAAGATGATAAACCTGGAGAGGAGAAGACTATATTACATGGTAGTGCCATCTTCCTGTCTGTTCTCCTCATCTTGTTCACAGTGTTTTCTTGCCTGCTGTGTTAATTAGCAACGAAGGCAGACAGCCTCAGCATTTTTGCTGAGACACCTTCGTGTCTCTTGTGTTGGAGATAACAGCACTCACAGGTGTAAGTGTAAAGGACAGGGAAAGAGATAAACTTGGACTAATTCCACTTCATACTGTGAAAAGCAGTCTAGAAATGTCATCTTTCAGGGCACTGATTTTATTTATTTACTTTTAATGTTACTAGACGTGCACATCCCTTTGCTGTTTTACAGAGCAAGCATTTTAAAGTTATGAGTTTGGCTTAGTTTCAGCTTCAGAATTACTGCAGTTCTGAATGCCAGTATTTTCATCAGCAGGTTGTACTTTGGGTTATGGCTTACAAACAATTTAGAAAATTGCTTGGACTTCATAGTTCCTCAGTTTTTAATGTAAATGTTCTTGCTATACTATAAATAATTGTGTGTCAAATAATTATCCTATGGAAGCCTATAGCATCGGTATTTATAGTGGTACCTTCAAATAAAATGGTGTAGTAAGTAAACTTAGTGATTTTGGGGAAACTGTTACTTCAACTCTGTGCATGTAAAACAGTCCAGCCTTATATTGCTTGGCATAGATAGGTGGTAAACACAATATCTCTTTGTTTACCACTTTCTACAGGCAGGCTCACATACACAAGTTGGAGTATCCTTTCTTACATGCATTGAAGAAGTGGCTGGCATTAGTACTTCATTCTTTAGTAGCAGATCATGACAATTTTTATTGAATTGTGATCATCTTAACAAACCTAAAATTTTAGCCACTGAGCTCCTGTAGAATAATTATTTTTTTTAATCCAGCTTTTTAATGGCCTTTACCTGAAGTTTCGCAGTGAAAGACCCTCTAAGATAAACTTTAGTCTTCTCAAAAACAAATATTGCAGAAATATGTAAGCATTGATACTGTGCAGGAGGTCACTTGTACAACTGAAACTGCCATAACAATATTCCAGAAAGGGAGAAATTAAATCAGTGCAGAGCTTAATGTCATGGCTGTCCAGCACGTCTACTCTCAAGTACCCATTTCCGAGCATAGTGCATCCTTGCATGTCTTGATTGTCTAATCACTTCTTCAATCTAGTTAAAGAGCAGCTGTTGGCTACTGCTGACCAATATTGATTCACACTGGCCAAATGTATCCTTTTTTTTACTCTGATTAGTCATTCTGTTGACATGACTGACACGGCACAGAGCTGGCTGGAATGTGAGTTGCAAGCAAATGCCAGGGTTGGAGTTGCACGTTTGAATCCATGTAGAGTTAGTGTAAGCAGCCCTTGTGTTGGGCACTTTTTTGCTGTTTGATGAAGAGTCACGTGTGTGTGGGGAGAGACTGTCTTCATGTCCAGATTATCAGATTCCAAGCAGACTTTGCTGAAATGATTTAATTTGAGCTTAACTGATGCCAAATAAGATTCTCCATCTGTGTCCTCTGGAGTGAATTTTTCTTCTCCTACCTCCTTTCCCTCCCACTTCACAGCAGATCCGCTATGTTCAGAAAAACCTTAATTTTGAGTGGCTGTTGAGCCTTTCGAAGACTATAACCTTTTACAGTACAGGGTCTTGGATTCTCAGAGTTCTGTGTTTACCTTTTCAGTTAAGGAAATGTATGACTACCAGGGGAGATCATACCTTCATGTCCCTCAAGATGTTGGAGTTAATCTCCGTTCTACAATGCCACCTGAAAAGTGCTATCTTCCAAAGAAACAAATCCACGTGTGGTCTGGACATACAAAGGTAGGAAGTCATGTTTGTGAGTGTGAATCATAAAAAACACGCTTCACTTTGTGTCTGAAGCTCGTAACTTTTGTAAAACTGAAGTGTCAGTAAAAGGAAGGGATATTTTTGTCTTTACTATGTTATGCATGTAATTGGTTGCACTACATACTCAGACAAGGTGTTTGCTTAAATGCAGTTATTTACTTGCATACACCTTTTCATTAGCATAGTGGCTTCCTGATCTCCCTTAAAGGGACAAGTATTATTCAGTGACTTCTGTGGGATGTGGAATTACTTCCTAAACTACCACATGAATAAGAGTAAGACTAATTCTAGAGATCCCTAAAGATGCCTTTTTTTGTTTTGGTTGGGGTTTTTTTTTAATATAGTTAAAGTCATTAAGGGCCATTTCATATCAAACTTATCAAAAGTTATAATGGTTTTGTGCTTATGGTGCATCAGCAAGTTTCCCAAATACTATTACCCAAAAAGCTACTACTTTTGAAAGGTGTGCCTGGTTGAGACTTTTCTTTGATACGATTTAACATCTACAGTTTCTTCTTGTGCAAGAGCCCATAAGTATGTACATATTTTGGTATTAAAGGAGCCTTCCACGGTTCAGGTTTGTAAAGTTTATACTGGATTTGCTGCTGCTTCTGTCTCTAATTTTCAGTGTTGCTTGAAGGAATATGCTATCTGGCAACGGGCAGCACCTTAATGATATTGGAAAGATGGAAAAAAGAAAGAAGGACACAGGGAACACTTTCAGTTTTTACCCCTTTTTACTTGAGTCACAGCTTTAAACTTTTTTTTTTTTAAATGATTGCTGCATCATAAAGCTTGTAGCTGCAACTATCAGTGTTTGCCAGAATAACATTTCCTCCACAAAGCTCTAGTTACGCCTCTGCCTATTATCCTATTAAAGCAGACTGGTGCATAAAACAGCTTTTTCCTGAGATGAATGACATTACTGATGTGAGAAGCAGATGAAAGATGGGCTGACAACCCTAGAAAACTGGACAATATAAGGAGACAATGACAGGGAGGATAAAGCACCCAACTCCAAACAGGGGTGGGAGGAACTGGGTAGAATATGAATAGAGTAATTGACATGAAATGGAAAGAAGGACATGAAACAATGAGTTGTTCTTTGGGTTTTCTCTGGAAGGAGTATCTGAAATAGGTAAGTGGGAATCTGCTGTGCTCAGGGAATCTGAGTTCATTGGGTACAAGCCATTGGTAGTATGTGTAAGAAATGGAGCTCCCCAGAAACTTTTTGTGGAAAAATTCCTCACCTGCCCCACCTGAAAAGGCTTGTTATACAGAAACAGTCACCCTAAACCCACAGGTTGGATTTCTTTGCTGTGTCACACACAGTAGGAGTGTGAGTGTTGTAAAAGGGTATATGTACGCAGCTGTTGAAATGAATCAACTTGTCAATAACAATTGTTCAAAATGCATTGCTGTTTCCAAAATGGAACGTGGGCAGGTTATTTCTTTTCAAGGTACAGTATCTGTGTATTTTATGAGGGTAAGCTTTTTCCTTAGAAAAGAGGGAAGGTGAACAGAGGAAACATCTAGATGCCCCACTTACTGCTAAATTATGTCTATTTACAGGGTGTCAGTGCAGTTAGATTGTTCCCTCTCTCTGGGCATATACTGTTGTCTTGCTCTATGGATTGCAAAATTAAGGTAAGTTATTTTACTGGTAATATATATTTTTTTATATATACAATACTATCACAGAATACAGACAGTGCATTTAGTGCTTCTACCAAATATCTTTCATTTGTGTTATTTTTGGTTTTCTGACTTGATTTTTCAAGTGCAAATTTGTTTGAGCAAAGATGGAAAAGTGTACAAGACTGTTGGTGTTAGAACAGTGTTAATCATTTAGTAATAGCATTTAGAAGGTTGCAGGTTCCTCAGGTTATTGCCTTTGTTGTTATAATAATTTGTTTTCTATGGAGCCTAGTTTTACAGCTGGCAAAAGGTTTCTCTTTATTGAAGCATTTGTGGTCTTGAACTGTTCTCATTTTAGGCCATCATGCATCATATTAGAAAGCTGGTGATATTTTTTGGTTTTATTTCTACTAGTAAAACCTTAGAGCTTTGAAGTTGGAATATGGTATGGGGGTTTTAGTTAGTTTAAGGGTGCTTTGCTAACAAGAAGGTGACAGAGCGTTTGTGTGAATTTCTGGGTGGTGATAGTTGTGATTAATCAGTAGGTGTCATATGTTTGAAATTAATTTCTTAATTACATGTCGCCATGTATGTTTGCACAATATCATTATTGTTTAACAACTGACATCTTCTCTCCCCATCCCTTTTATTTTTCCAAGCTGTGGGAAGTATATGGAGATCGAAGATGTCTACGAACATTTATTGGTAATAGTCTTTTCTTAACTGATTTTTTTTCATTTAAAACAACTTCATGGAAGGCTATGATTTAGGTTTGCGTATTAATTTATCACAGAGAGGACTTGTAGGCATCCAGCATGTAGTATTCAGTATGATCTTGGCAATAAGAATTGAAAAAGGTGCAAGTTTTTAATGAGCCTTTGTCATTATTCCATATAATTTAATGTTCATGTAGAACATCTTATGACCCTCAAACCAAAACATTAGTGTGCTGCAGTCATCAGCACTTTATGCAAAACTCCTTTTCAAAGGCAAAATCTTGAAATTGAATTGCCCCAACTTCATGTTGAGAACAGCAGCTCTCTGTATTTATGCAGTGAGGGCGTCTCATGGTCTGATGATCCCATCTCAAATAGGTCATTTCTTCTGTGCAGAAAGCATGGGAATTTATTTTTTTTTAGGTTCAGGTGCTGTCTTTGTTCATGTAACCAGTGCTTTTTAAAGCAGATATCCTAGAGAGACAGAAATACAAACTTCTTAGCAGCCTTGAATACAGAACAAAAGCAACTGATTCCCCTTTTGAAATGGGAACATTTCTAGAACACTGAGTGAATATATGTTGAGTAATAACAAAGAAGTCTTTTTTTCACCTAATGTTTCTGATGACAGCAGCGTGATGAAAATGATGGCTCAAAAAAGGTTATCTCTCAATAGACTACTCTTCCTGAACAGTTTGACTGCTTTTCTCAAAAGGTCCTTATTATAAACCAGATTAACCTGCTATTTTGCTGTATTTAAGTTACTGTGCCAATATTGTAACTAAAGAGGTCTCCTACAAGTCTAATGCAGTGGTCACATGAAACAATTGGCGTTGAGGGATAACAAGGTTAACACCAGATGAAAGCACTATTAATTTTCTGATCTGATATTTCCCATATTTTGTACTTGTTTTCTAATTATAAATGTTCCTCTTTTAAATGTATCTTCTTTAGTGTTTCTTTCCTGTTTTTCGTTATATGTTGACAATTATTACAGTGTTTCAAATTCCTCTTGCAGCTCTTAACTGTGACTCGAACAATCTTAGAAGCCAAAGATTGATTGTAAATCAATTTATGAATGATTCATAGTGCTTGGTTCTGTGCAGTGCTGTTGTTTCTATCTCCAGTGCTTTAGAGGTGTGAGGATTTGGGGGGGTTTATTTTCATTATTCTTTAGGAGTTACTCTTTCTTTTACTTGGGTTTTTTTTTTTTCTTTACTAGTGCTCATGAATAACTTCACTGAGTGATTTTCTTGTTTTCTCCGAATTGTTAAAGACTGGAGTATTTAACATGCGTAACATTTTTAAAGAAACAAAAACATTAATTCTAGGCATGAATAGATAGTTTATCAATGCATTTTTTTCTGCCTTGTAGGACATAGCAAAGCTGTTAGAGACATCTGTTTTAATAATGCTGGCACTCGGTTTCTTAGTGCTGCTTATGACCGCTACCTTAAACTCTGGGACACTGAAACAGGTAGGCTTACAAACTGTTGTTTGGCACTATGTTTAATTAATAGTAAATATACTGATATATTGTCAGTCATGTTGTTTCCAGTTGTCCTTAATGTCATCTTGTAGTTCAGTGTTCAGGCTTGTATTACAGGATGAATAGTCTTTTCTTTTTTTTTTTCCTCTAAACGTTTTGTTATGTGTAATGGTGCAGTTGACACTACCTATATAGCTGTATTTCATATACCTTTTGTATTTGAGAAGTCTGATAGTTATTTGTAGTGCTAGAACAGTTTTCAACAGAAAGACAAAGTTTTACCAGATCAATTAACTTTATACCTTTTTATACCTGTAGATATAAACATGCTAGTTAGTAATAAAATCATACTTTAATATGCTTAATTTAAAAGAATTCTTTCACTTGGTCTTTTGGTTAACCTGAACTTGAAGAGCACTCCAAATAAGATAAACTGCTGGTATAGGGAGGTGGAGGGTAGGCCTGATGCTCTCACAGAACTGTCTGGGAGATGCTCTGTAGCATTCTGCTCCAGCAGTTTCTTAAGCTAAAAAGATACAGGATAGGTTTTTGTCAGTATTCTTTTTAACCCTAAGTCTGTTCCTAAGACAGGAAACTTCCATGTTTAAAAGGAACATTAGCTTTCTTGGTTAGCAGTGCTGCTAGTCTTACACAGGAGACAGGAAGGTGTAAGTTAGATTCTCCAGTCTGAACTCAGTCATTTAGACACCTGAAAAAAGAGGCTCCTGCAAGTTACAGATAACATGTAATTAGGGTATTTATGGCTGAGACTATGAGAGGAGGAGGTCAGTGGTTTGTTTTGCAGTTGGATTACTGTTACCCTTTTCTAAGTTTAGGATTGAGGAATTCTTCCCCAATTTTTGTCTCTTGTTGAGAAGACCACTGATGGTAAGGAGGGTGATGCTTTGCAAAGACTGGTCAGCTTGTGATGTCCTGACTGGTCCTAATAGTTTTGATGTGTCCTGATGACATACAGGGTACTGTGCAGTTATATTTTTAGAAAGCTGTAGTAAATGTAGGGGACAGTTTATATGTGTATGTGGTTGTGCAGGTTGCATTAATACAAACATGTAAAAGAAGGTCTAATCAAAGAGCAGGGTAAATTCTACTCTCTAATCTTCTCCAAGGCTATGAAACAAGTATTTTATGATGTTAGTAAAAGTAAAATAAATGGTTTTCATCAATATCTGCAAAAACTAATCAGCCCATAGAACTTCCACCCTAATGCACTGTGAATGGTTCTTCTGTTGCAGGGCAGTGTATTTCAAGATTCACAAACAGGAAGGTTCCTTATTGTGTCAAGTTCAATCCTGATGAAGATAAACAAAATCTCTTTGTTGCAGGAATGTCAGATAAGAAAATTGTGCAGGTATGTCTGTGTACTATCTCTTACTCTAAAATTTGATATTTAGTAAAAAATAAAGGTCTTATTCTGACTCTTTTATTTGTAGTGGGATATTCGAAGTGGTGAGATTGTGCAGGAATATGATAGGCATTTGGGAGCTGTCAACACCATTGTGTTTGTGGATGAAAATAGAAGGTTTGTGAGTACATCTGATGACAAGAGTTTAAGAGTCTGGGAATGGTAAGTTTAAGTTTTTAAATTTTAACTTAAAGTGTATTATGAGCAAACTGAGACAAGAGTTTATTTTTAAAAGAGCGCATAGCACGTGGAACACTGGAGTGTACCCAGTTCTAGCTAGTTGAGGAAGAGCTGGCTTAATGCTTGAGATGCTTCCCAGATTTCCTCCTCCCCCAAAGAAAGCATAAGACATCCTGTCATCCTGAAGCACATTGCACTTTAATAGTGATCTCTGTTCTCTCTCCTTTCCTTGAGTATTAGGTCTTAAATTAACCTGCAGTCTTACGTTTGTGTATGTGTGTCAGTTTTGAATGCTTTGAACTTGGATATGCATAGTATCATATAATACTTAGCCCATCTATTAAATGAGTAGTTTAGCATTAATATTATTATTAATATAATAATCATAACCCCTTTGTATTAATTAATGTTGATACAGGACATCTTGCATGTGTTTTCTGCTAAATACATTAATCAAAGTAGCTTAATTTCAGGGGGGTTGGCAACCATTGATACTCATAGTGTGAATAAAATAGACGACAGAGAAGGGAGAGTCTGTCAAAGAAAAACTCATAAAACCTATAATTTTAAATGACTTCCAATTCTTAATATACCTGAGGAGGAAGCAGATCTCTCCAAACTGAAATGTTTTTCACAAGTTTTTAGGTACTAAGATTATCAGACTTGTAAGATTCCTCTAGGATTTCACATTTCTCTCTGAAATAATTCCATATCTTTAGGTATCAGTTTCTTTTGCTGCTCACACATGCAAAGCTGTTATGCAATACGGACACTAGATTGACAGCTCTGTGGCAAACCTAGACAAAAGAGACAAAAAAATCTGTGACATTTGAATGTTACCCAAGCAGCCAGCAAAAACCCTCAGCATGTCTGTGATCAGCTGCTATCATTGCCAGTACCAGCAGTGGTAATGACCAAAGTCTGGGAACCCAGGCTTAGGCTAGACATGTAATGTTGTCACCATATGTCACTCCAAGAGAGCCTCTGTTCTATACTTCATAATTAGACCCATACATTTACTGAGCTCTTTAAAGAAAAATCTTTGCAGTAGCATATCTTCTGAGGAATGCCTCCTCTCTAGTGAGTGGGAGGATGATCTCACTTGCACAAATCTCTTATTTCCTTGAGATTGGATTGCCCTTGTTTTGTGAGCTTTGTGTTGATGGCTGAAATAAATAGTGAAGTGGGTGGATTTAGTCACTCTGTGGGGAAGAGCAGGAAAGGCAAAAAGGTTCTGGCATGGGAATATCACAACCTGATTGTCCCAGTATCAGAAGGTTTTTCCCTCTGAAGAAAAAATACATACTGAACTTGTTGTATGCTTCCTTGTTCAGATAACAGGGAAATCAACTGTTGGCAATATGGCATAAAACAGTCATTGGTTGTTTTTTTCTTGTTTTAGAAAAAGCAAATGTAATGCTTTCTCCGTAAGCGTGACTTCAAAAACTTTTTCTACAACCTACCATGATATATGTATTATCATAAATAGTATATATTTCACTAATTTTAAGATCCAAGGTTTTATAATGCTTTAAAGCTAAGTTAATATATTCACTACACACTATACACTTCCACTTCTGTGGAAAATTATTTCTCAAATCATTTTTTCCTAAGTTGGTAAGGAAAATAATTTGCAACTTAGGGTGATTTGGTTACTAAAACATACTTTTTTGTATGTTTGTTCATATGTTTTCCAGCACAATATTTCTTTAGTATCTTACAGAAACAAAGCAGAAGTTAATATGATGTGAGTATGGCTTTAAAAGCCAGTAATTAAAGCTGGTCTAATTGCTTACTTTCAATGGTCTAGAGGAATTTTGTAGTATGTTTTGTAAGCTCCTTGACTTGGCCAGAGCTAGTAATGGGGTGCCGTGTCAGCCTTCATCACAGTGAGGAACTTCTCTGCTGAGAATTCAAACCTCCTTTCCCCAAGAGTTCATCCTATGCATAGATCTCAGTTGCAGCTGGTTGGTTGCTGAACATTCAGACTGCGAGTATAGCACAGACTCTTGCAGATTAAATGGTTTCTTTAGGAATCTTAACGGGAGTACTTTTAAACTTACCTGCTTTCCTATTTCCTGTGATTGTATTGTTACAGCAGGGATATTAAACTTGGCATGGGTATCATATGCAGTGTTCTTTTGGAAAAGCAAGATATTAGTTTGTCTTTGCTTCATGTGCATCTGATCCTATTTGGAAAAGCAGTGAAATGATGTGGGCAATTCACCTTGGAGACTTTTATTTCCTTTCACCTTCAAGTGAACTAGCAAAGCAAGAACTATACTGTGGTAGCTTAGTTATTATCCTAACAGGTTGAGGCTTATCTCTGTAAAGCTATACCCATCAGCAGGCCTTTTCTCCACCATTCTCAGTAAAGAGACTGTACCCTTTGAGAGAGTTCTTCATGATGTGTAGATCCTAAAATTGGGTTTGGTTGGGTTTGGGGTTTTGGTTTGGTTTGGTCACACACACACACAAATACTTCTTTCTTTAAAAGGATTTTTTGCTCTGCTGGTTAGGGAAGAAGTTGTATTAGAACCCCAGAGTATCACATTTCTAAATCTTATCTAGCAGGTATTACTTTTGATATTTAAAACTTTTCAGCCTTTGAAATGCTGTGAAGTGGGAACCTGAAGATCTTTAAGTATTTGAACAAGCTGTATATCACATGAGTTTCGAGGTCAGGAAGCCATGACAGCATCTTTCTTGATGATTTTTTTGGTTTAGCTTTTTCTTGAGGCAGCAGGCTGATACTACTTATTTAGAAATTAGACTGGGAAAAAAACGTGAAATGTAAGTGTATTTCTTTATTCTAATAACTTAATGCAGTGTATCTTGCAGCTGTCCTAAGTGTGTCTGGTATGCTTCAACATGAAGCAGACTTGTCGTGAATAAATCCTGTAGATGAGCCTGCGTGCCCTCATCTGCAAAGGAATAGAAGGCAGGACAACCTGTGCTGCATTTAAATTTCTTGTAGCAATACAACTTGGCATTGGAGATGCATCTTCTGTGATGAGGCTTTTTTTTAATGAGGCCTAAAGTGGGGTTGCTTTTACCTTGGCATTGAGGACTCCAGATGACCAGTGGGCTTGAGGGAGTGTTGGGTAGTGGGAGCTGATCAGGATCTGTCCTTACCGCAGTGATGACTTTGTGTTGTGCTGCAGGTGGGGTTTGAAGCTGTTTTGAGTGTTGATGCAAAAGGGTAGGGTGGGGTGCAGTTTCTGTTGGTCAGCCTTAGAGATTACGTGGACTTTGTTACTCCTTTACAGTTTTACTGTCCACCAGTAGTCTTAGGCCTGCCTGTTTGGAAGCCAGTTATCCTTGCGTATGTTCATATCTACAGATTGTGTTAAGTGGATTGACCTTCTTATTCTGGGGGGTAAATGATTTTACCATCTAACTCACAGGAACATTTGTGTTGTTTCCTGACAACAGAGCAGCTTCTCACCCTGTTGCCCGTGTGCATGTTGCTTAACACAAGGTGACAGGAAATCACTTACTCTATAATAAAACAGAACTGTAATTGCCTTGCTAATGTCAACCATATTGCCATCCAGCAAGGCTCGGTCAGCTAGTACAGAACAGCCACCCACGCTCTGCTCCAATAGTGTCCCAGCAGCTCTTCTATTTGTGTCAATTAAACAATGAAGTCATAAACCAGTCATAAACCCTTTGTATTAATTAATGTTGCTACAGAACGTTTTAAATGCTTTATGCTAAATACATTAATAAAATCTATTTTCTGCTGGAGAATTATTTTGCTTAATGAAAAACACATGTGCATGCCTTCCCTCCTTACCAGTCTTCTAGTGTGTAGGGTATGAGGAATACTGTGAGTATGCATGACCGTTAGTAATTCAATTTATATAGTCAAAACCAAATTACATTTCTGTTGAGTAAGGATTAGACTGTACTTCTTTTTTCCTTAAGTCTTGTATAGGACAGTGTATGTTCTTAATGTGCATTGGCATAGTCCTGTATGCTGTTGAGACCAGGGAGTTCACGGTTCAGGTTTGTGAACATTCAGAATTGGTTAGCAATCTTTTTTGGGAGATCAGGATGAAAAGGGCATTTGCAGGGACTGACAATTAAAAGATATAAGACATTCCAGAAAATAAGACATTCCAGTAAAATACCTGCATTTATCAGTCTATTCTTGTTATCTGTATAAGAATTTTGTAAGAGCTGCAGTTAAACTGGAGGCAATAGAGTATCTTTGTGTTGCAGTTTTACTCTTTAACAATTGGAATTATGATTGCTTTGCACTTGGGGTTATTTGATGGAGGTAAATTCACTCTCTAAAGTTTATCCTGTAGGTGGCTTTGCAACTGGAGCTGTCTAGGTGGGCATTCCTAATATTTTTGAGCTTTTACACATTCATCCTTTGGACACCATGATGCACTCTGCATGGCTCAGTGGCTGAGTAAATCAGCTGACTGGAGGCAGCCCCTTGGAATATCTCCATGTCTTCATAAAACATACTTCTTCCTTTTCCAGGGACATTCCTGTAGACTTCAAATATATTGCTGAGCCAAGTATGCATTCAATGCCAGCTGTGACTTTGTCTCCAAATGGTAAGTTAAAACTTTACTGCCTTCTTAGGCATCGTTTACATAGACATGTCTTACTGATTATATCTCCATGATGTTGCTGTGTTGTGTCCCCCTCTCACCCCACATGACCCATTCTGAACCAGTGTGTGCATTTATTCCAAAATTGGACTGGATCTGGGTTTGATTTAAAAGTCTTAAGAATAAAAATTATGTCAAAAATTAGAGTTATATCAGGATAAATGTATCTGTTTAAATTTAGACCTTCATCCAAACAGGGCAAAAGGACTCTTCATAGAGCTCAATATGCTCTTCGCTATATTTAAAATACTAAGAGAAACTATGGTGGGAACTGACAATGGCTTGAAAGTACTAAGGAAGTTCAGCAGTCCTTGTGGTGCCACAGTTAAAGCAGAAACTGATGTTGTACATGATCCTGGTAATGCTATTCTTCTCTGTTCTGAATATAGCCCAAAACAACTCTTGCAGAAGAGAAATACCGAATTAACCTCAGTGTTTCTCGATGTTAATGTTTCGCTGATGTTTATGTTCTTCAATTAGAAGCAGACTGAAGGAGAATAAAGGTTTAGAGCTTCCAGTAGTCAGTGAAAATCCTTCTAACAGGACAGTCTTTGTTTTGGCCAAAATTAAATTGCTTTAGTGTCAACATTATTAAAGTGTTGCCAGATTTACAGTTAACAGTCCCATTATGCCAAGTAGTGACTGATCAACTTGTTGTAGAGCTAACATTTTCAGTCAGCTGTCAGCATCAAATTGTATGGCTTTCCAGCATAGATATTTTATTCTTAACAATAGAAGCGAGTTTCTAATATAAAAAGGAAGATTCTGGAGAGAGAGCTGTGTTTAAAAGTATGAGCTTCCCAAGCTGGCCTTTTTCAACCCCTGTTTCTGCACAACTTGCTGTATTCTAACCCAATTGTTCAGTTCATATCCTTCTTCCCTATTGAAATACTGGATTTTTCATTCTTTTTCCAGTTCTGTCTGGCTATCATTTGTGTATCTGATTCTGAGATGAGACAGTAAATGATGTTGGGAATGAAGTAGTCATCTTTTCAGCTCAAGACATCACCTTAACTAACACATTAGTTAACTGTTACATTAAGTAACTATCTTTACTACAATAGTCCAGTATCACACAAAACAAGTTATGTAGGAATAGTTAAGCTACAGATTGTGCCATACCTGTCATGCATCATTTTAGTGTCAATAAAGGAACTGAGTCCTTTAAAGAAAAGTCAACTGAAAATCTTACATATGTGGAAATTTTCTACTTATGGGCACTGATTTAAGAATCTTATCAATTAAATTTTTCCTCCTGAGTGATGGAGGAAACAGACTTTTTAAGAAGTAGGAGAATAACATGCTTGCAGTATACATTTGATTTGTTTCTTTGGGAGACTGCACAAATCCTCAAATTCCAAGCTAGTAGCTGTAAGTGTGATCAGATTTACAGTCAAGTCAGCACATTTTACGTTATCCCTGTTTGTATAAGACTCTGTAAAGACAGTGACTATTTGCTGAATTCAGGACAGAAATCTCTGTTCTGTGGTGTTCTGTAACACATTATCTTCATTGGATTCTCAGGCAGGAGTTAATGCACTGCCAAGATGCAAAATGAGGTAGACTTAAGAAGAAAAGCCTGGGTTTTTCTCTTTCACTGAAGTATCTTTATTAAATTGCATTCTGTTGGGGCAGAGAATACTAAATAGTTGCAAAAATGTAACGATTTAAAAACTCCTCTGTCTACCCTAGACCTGTTTTTTCTCTAAAGAAAGAGGTGACAGACTATCCACAAGACAGGTAATCAGATAGATTGCAGCTAAATGGGCTTTTTTCCCCCCTCATCTGAATTACTTGGTTACGTGCGCCAGTAAATTTAGTAGCTTAAAAAGTTATCAGTAAGTCAGTGGGGTTGATGCAGCACGTTCTTGTAACAGCCAGAGCTTATCTAGAGTCCTGAGTGCATTTTGTAGAATAGGTGTCTCAAATCCTGTCAAATGTAAGGTTTTGTCTCTTGACAGTTGTACCAGGTAGAAGAAATATCAGCTGCTACCTTGAACCCTGTTACATAATGATGAACATCTGGATTAAGATAGTGCAAGAAAAGTTATAAGAATCTCTTCAAATGTTCCAGTTAAGTCTGTTTTTTGTAATGCAGCACTCTGATAGCACCTTTCTTTATTGTATTTATAGGGAAATGGTTGGCTTGCCAGTCGATGGATAACCAAATTCTGATTTTTGGAGCTCAGAACAGGTTCAGATTAAACAAAAAGAAAATTTTCAAAGGTCACATGGTAGCTGGCTATGCTTGTCAAGTGGATTTTTCACCTGACATGAGGTAAGTTTGGTTTTTTGAGAGAATAAGCTTCATCTTAAAACTTGCTAGTACAGACACTAAATTTCTTTTTGAATCCTCTGCAGTATTCATTGGTGCACAGCCATCACATTAACTCGGCATCAGAGAGAGTTCTCTAGCCAAGCAGCAGAACGGAACATTTAATCTGTCATTTGATCACACTAAGTTATACTCAGTGGTTACTCTGAGCAAAATTTAGGTAACAGTCCATGTACTCCTGATTCCCCCATTCTGCAAAGATGATTTACATTGCTGTTAAACCATTCAGAGACTAGCCCTGGTGTAGCAAGCCATAACCCTCCTGTGCATCTAGCTCTTGTTGTGTGTGGTCTGTAGCATAGGGTCTGTTCCCACAGTAAGCACTTGTCTAAAATACCTGGGATTTGGACTTGCCCAGTGTTGCCAATTTGCAAGCCTGGTGTGGTTATCCTCATTTATTGTTCAAAGAACTATATTTTTCCTCCTCTTTGCTCAGTAGTATGCTCGTACATTGCATACACTATACATGCATAAAGTATGTGTTACTATAAAAACTGGAGAATAGCCTCAGCAACACTGCAGGAAAAAGTAGAATCATCTATAAATTTTAGAGAAACTTCAGCACTCTCTCTCTTGCTGATGTATTCTCTTTAGCTCCAGTAACACAATATACGGTATAATCGCATTCCTTAGCACATTTACCTTGCAGTTGATGAATCGCCTTCTGCAGGATTTATGCGCATTAGAACACAGGATGAATGCTAATTCTTTGGTAGATATGTTTGCAGGCTGTCACACGGGAAGCTCACTGGGTGAAGCCCTTTTCCGTTGCTCAATATAAAAGTATTATGATATGAGCATATTATATGATGATACAGCTTTTATTTCAATCTTGTTAATACAGCTATGTGATATCTGGAGATGCAGATGGAAAACTTAACATCTGGGATTGGAAGACAACAAAACTCTACAGCAGATTAAAAGCACATGATAAAGTCTGTATCGGTGCAGTGTGGCATCCACACGAAACATCTAAAGTCATTACGTGCGGCTGGGATGGTCTTATTAAACTATGGGACTAAAGAGGATGCTACAGAGATCTCAGGATTTAAGTCCTGTATACATCTGAGATTAGAACAAATTCTGTAAGGATGAGTAGGAGTTTGTAATACTGCAGTTCTCAGCTAGCTGTATGTATGCACTAAAAAATGGGAAATCTTCTAAAGACACAACTGAAAGGATTTACTTCTCAGTATGACCTCTGGGTATGAGAAGCTGAGGTCACCTGAAGCATGTGGAACCAAGTGTTGTCATGTCACTGTTTATGCAAAACTCTCTTGTAAAATAAAATAATTTTAAGGCAAACTATTTTTGTGGTTCTGACTGCCAGAGATGGGGGGAGTTAGAAGAGAAAATGAGCAATTGTGTAACTTGCTTCCTAAGAAGTAATCTTTGATACCTACTGCAATAGAGCTGGAAATTCTGCATTTCTTTATCTGGTTTTGGGTGGCATTTTGTTGTCCCCAGTACTTCTACATTTATAGAACACAAGCCCATTTGCTAAGATCTTTTAACTCGCAATACAAATGAAGAACTAATTGGAAGCTAGCAGCTGTCAGATAAACTGTATCCACTGAAGACTATTCATGAACTCTTATTTCTGCCTGCCTTTACCAATAGCATCATGCTGATCACCGAGTTTCATCTTTGCAAGTAGTCATTGATTTGAATCAAGAGTTTGCTTGTAATGGTTGTGTATTAAGTGTTTGTTTTTTCTCTTCCCATATGCTTTTATGTTCCAATAAGCATGACATGTTTAAAAAAAAGATGTAATATTGCTAGTTCAGTTTGGAATACATTGTATTATAAGCCCCATAAAGGATTTGCCAGTTTAATGTATATAGGTGGGTCATACCTTTTCCTCTTTAAAGAACTTATTTTTAATAAATCTTTTTATAAAAAGTCTGGTTATCTTTAATTCTTCTGTCTAGCATGTCCATATAACATGTTTCTTGCTATTTCGTATTTTAATTTGCAGTTGTGTACCAGTGTTCAGATAAACCCATTCTCTTGCACTTCATACAAAACTAATGCAAGTTGGAAGCAGGAGAAACAAATCCTTCGCAATCCCTATCTTCTGTCTTTTTAAGCACATAATGGAAAGAAATTAATTACACATTTTTATCCCATGGATCAGTCTTCAATTACACTTTTGAGTTACCCTATATTGTTTACTATAACTCTAGTGGCTGCTTATCAAGGATAAGCAATAGCAAAGGAATAATTACCTTAATTGACAGCAGCATAGAAGATAAGGCGCTTCAATCGATGGTATGCAAAGGATCTCAAATTGTGTGGATGGAAGGAAGTGGGTTCATTGTTTTGTGCAATTTTGTTGATTTGGGATTTTTTGGCTGATTAACAAGACAGTTCTGTTCCTTAGCGAGTACTCTTTGAAAGTTAGGCCCTTATGAGTGAAGATGGAGCTTACACACTTTAGACCAACTCTCTAAAGCTGAGCTTGAGTCTTTCCGTGTCCGTTCATGCTGTCATGTAGCTGCACAAAGTTTTTATGTTTCTGTTTACTTTCCCATCTCAGCAGCCTTGTGTACCTGGAACGCCCCACACACTGCTTTCACAACAGGTGCATTGGTGGTAACTTGACATTGTCTGGCCTTGCACCCATGCCAGTACTGAGGTAGGAAATTGTAAAGCCTGGAGAGAGACAAAAGAGCCGGCGTGCTGTGTCTCAAGGACCATCCCCTCTGCAAGGAGAGAAGAGGCTGTTGCTGTTTCCCAGCTCTTAAGGGTGCGGGTGGGAGTGAGCTGTTGCTGTGTCACAGAGGGTAAATTTCCAACATGGTGCTTCTCACAGAGAAGACTTGAACTCCTGAGCTGGGAGTTGAGCTCTGGTGTGCACTGTGCCCAAGAGCTGTGTCAGCCAAAAGTGGGCTGAAATAATTTAGAGTGGTTTTCTTCCTTCAAATCCATTTCCTAAACGGATGTGTGGCAGCGTGCCCTGGCCATTAACAGCTTGTAAGTACAGGGAACTGGGGAGGAGAGGAGGGATAGAGTAGATAGAAAAAGTTCTCACAGGAACTGTACATTAGTTTCTGCATCACAAAAACCTTTCCCAAATGCTTAAAAGCCTTTAAATCATAACATGCAAAATGCTTGGTCTGTAGTTGGGACTGGTTTCCCATATGTCACCTACCAGGCAGAACTTTGTGTATATATATATATATATATACACACATACACAGAGACACAGAATATACAAAGTATAAAAAGATGTATAAACATTTGTAGTAATACAACTAGATGTTGTGTTAGAAGAAAAGAAAAAGTAAGCATTGACTCAATCAATTGTGCTGAGGTTGATGAATTGGGATTAAATGTTTGCAAGAAGCCCAGAATCAAAAGTCCCCCAGAAACTCTGAGATAAAACCCTTTGTTCCTCACAGTTGGTCTCCGTGTTAATCTTTTGTGGAATTTCTCACATCTGCACTGAAGCCTGCAGGGGGAATTTTTATGAGGTTAATTCCCTGTTGTCATCTTAGAGTTGCAAATTCCAAAGCCGACACTGTCAGCTGGTTTGCTGTGCACAGGGATAGACGGTGTACTGTGTCTGTGGTGCGAGTCTAGACTTGTCTTTCCAGCAGACACCTGGGAAAAGATTTCTTGCTGGGCTCATTAACTTGAATCATGTCCAGCTCTTATCTTCCCAATTTCATGTTTCACCAGAAAATGGTGTTACAAATGTTGGTCAGAGCAAGTCCGGACTGAGTCCCCTGGGCTGACTTGACGCGTGAGCAGACAATGCCAGAGGAAAGGCAGTGCTGGGAGAAAGAACAAAAAGCGTGTTTCAAGTTCCCCCAAGGTACTCCCCTCTAACATTAGGCAGAGAATGCAATGTGATTCAAGCAGAAAGGAGCTTCCTGGGAGGGCTGGAGTCCGTCGTGCTGCCGGGAAGGAATGCAAGCAAGCTGGAGTGCAGGGCTGCCGTCACAACATCGTAGTGCTCTGTAACCTTCAGGAATGATGTTCCAATATGCTGCCACTTTTATTAATACCAGAGAAGTGAACTACCTCCATCATTCCTGGGTGTTCTGCCTGGGAAGCCTGACAGTTCCTTTGGCCTTGTTTCGTCTTCTTCTTGGACTTCTTTTCATGTGCAAGAGGAGAGATATCCCACATACCCTCTTGCAACTTGCTGGTATTTCTTGAAGCAGATGGTCTTGGCATCTGTCTTCTCAGAGTCTGTAATTGTCCCCAGTAAGATGGGACTGCTCAGTCTTTGCCCTCATTATAAGGAACAAGTATCTAAATTACTGGACATCCAGAAACATCCAAGGATGTCTTGTAAAAAGCCAGGTTTTAGCAATGGGCAGATGCTTGATTTAACACTGTGGTCTTCAAAGGCTGATTTACACAGCGAGCCTTGCAGCACTGACAGCCCAGTAACACAATGTACTTTCCTTCTTTCTGCCAGCTGGTCATTACAAAATCATGCTCCCGTTTGCTAGGAAGACTCCATATGACAAACAGCCTGCACAAGGGAGAACAGAGGAGGGAGGGGAGTTTTGCTTGGGAGACTTTCAACAGTTGAACCTACACACCAGAAAAATCACTTCCCAGGGCGCTGGTTCTCTGGAGACTACTCAGGGACTTGCTACCATAGGGTTTCACTGACATATGCTCAAAATCATAGCCTGCAATGAAATGCAGCTTTTCTGTCATGCTTGCTGAAACACCCTGGCTGTCCTGTCCTGTCCTGCAGCACTCAGGGAAAACTGCTGTGGCAGGGTTACGTTTACAGAAGCTCTTCACAGAGTTTAAAGCTTTTAGAAACAAGCAGCAATACTTCCAATGCAACATGGACCTCCAGGTTTTCCAGGTACACTGGAAGTTTGACCTCAGGACTGCTTGTTGTCTTTTGTGATAGAACATTTAAAATGTGTTAAACCCTAAAGCACTGAGTCTGCCCGAGTCCCTTTTTAACCTGCTGTGCTTCGTGCCACTGGGAGACTGCTAAAACCAAGTGTTCTTGCAGATGCGTTGAGCTTGTCATTCAGAGTACGAGCTTCTCATTAGGCCTTGGGGTTGTTTTGCTTACTTTGACAGATGTCAAGACCACCTGAGCCTGCTCCCCCTCTGGTCTGGGAAAGAAAGACACGGCCACAAATCCCCTGGGGAGCTGTTGTAGTAATGTGAAATTTACAGCACTTCGAGACCACTGACAGTGACCTGGACATGGTTCTGGGAGCTGCACGTTTTCCCAGTGCTCCCAGCGCAATTGCCCCCCAGTTTGTGCCGAGCACTAACTCCCGGATGAACTTCAGTTGTGGAATAAGTTCGGGTTTGGTGGGTTTGGGTTTTTTCAGTGGGATTTAAACTCTTGCAACATTTTTTTAAGAAACAATACACAAACACCTGTCCTAGAAGGGCTGTAACAGTTTCACTTCCTCACCTTAGCTTGCACCAGGGTCACTTCCCCACACAGCTGGGACTCCAACAGTTGGTGATCTCAGCAACTTGCCCAGATTAGATGCTTGTATTTCGCTTCCTCACCTTTACACAGTCTTGGTCCTTTGTCTCCTCTGTATATACTCTGGGAAACCTAATCCCCTCCAACATTCCTTCCTCAGGAGATGAAGAGGGAAGTCTGACTCCAAATGAAGTCAGTTGCCAGGCCAGACATCTGCAGGAAAAGAAGGCAGGCCCATTCCCTGGGGTTTTCTAAACCACATTGGGTTTTGTCAGAACAGCTTCCCTACAGCAAGCTCCTCTCTTTCTCTCCTGTGGTGCTGACCCTTTGGGAGTACCTTGGGGCAGGGGCCGAGTTGGTTTCTTTTGGTTTGTGTCATTCCTCCAACATTCAAGAAGTGGAATAACATTATGGAATACTTCTTCTGATGCCGCATTCTCCTGTTAGAGCAATTTTCCTTCACTTCATAAGGAATTCGAAGACATTTCAGGGTCTCTCCTGCCTGCCAGGTCAGTTTGGGAGGCCAGTGAGGGGCTGACTGGTGAAGTCCCAACCCCTGTGCCACAGCTGCTCCTGCTGTTGTCAGTGGAGATACATGGGTGCTCCTGGGGCATGGCTGCTGCGGCTACTGCTGCTGCTGCTGCTTCCGCATTAGAGGTCTGAGTGGTCAGGTGGGGTCTGACAGTGACCAGTCAGCCATCCCCACCTCCCAGCAAGGCACCCAGGGCGGTGGCTCCGCTCTAGGTATCTGAAGGTGGATGCAAGGGTGGGATTCACATTGTTCGGGTTTAATTCAGAAACAGTCTCAAATATAGCGGTGGGAATTACCAGCTGAGGCACAGGAGCATATTAATCACCTGCAGCAGTTGGGTACTGTATACAGCACTGCACTTTCCTGCAGGAAACTACTGAAAACCAAACACATATGGTAGTAATCCACCAAACAGAGCATCGACATTGTATCGGTATTCACATTTGAGTCGTCAGTTCTAGGCAGCTCAAAGCAGGAGCCTCTTTTCCCCTTGTGTGAGGTCCTACCCGTCCAAACAAGGGACACAGCACAGGCTGTCTCTGCAAAGGTCTATTTCTGAACCAGATGAAGCTCTTTACATCAGGTAGGTCAAACTATGGCGTGAGAAGGGACTTCTATTTAAGGGAAGAACCATTCATTATCACAGGCTGTTCCCTTCAAACGCCAGGCTTGCCCTACCCCTGAAAGCCAGTGGAGGGAGGTAAGTATAAATATGTCTCCGAATGTAGGGCAGCTCTGAACTTCCACTGGTACTAACCAGGTCTCTACTGACGGCAATTAAACGTCACATTGTGTTAACAAGCAGGAAGAAATCAAAAGTGATTTCCTACTGAATAACCCTGAGGATCCTTTCAAGGGCAGGGAAGCTGCTAATGAAGCTCAGGAAATCAAAGTTTTTGAATGAACCAGATGGTCTCAGATGTTGAATAATTCACCAGGAAG